GTATAGTATGTATGTATGTATGTATATTGTATATATATATATATATATATAACATATATATATATATATATTATCGCCTGTATATATATGTGTGTGTTTTCAAGGACATATGTGTCCATATATATAGTTGTGTAACTTCGCAAGTATGCGTGAAAGACCCTGTAATTTGAACTATACCAAATAGGACGAAATAACATCGAAAATTACAAACCCACATGTTGGACACTCTTTTTGACACTATTGTAGTCGGGTGATACCCGAAAAACGCTTTTTCACAATACATGCCAGTTCGATATTTTGTCTCCTGAGCGCATCCTGGTCACAGCCGACGTAATCCACACTTGTCACATATACTGCCAGAAGGGACATTGTGAACTTTGTAATTCACAGGCATACAAATAATTGTTCACACCTATCATTAGTATTGTCCTTGAGCCATGTTACCAATTTCAGAGCTATCGTACCAGTAGTATAGCGTCAGTTGCAATTTAACCTGTTTCCGCGCGATGCACGTTGACCACCGTTTTCAAATAAGGTGGTAAATTGTTCCCAATTTGAAAATTGATTGATTTTTCGAACAAAAAAAGGTGGCAAAAAAAATCTATCCAGTTATATACTCTTGTGGTGTTGAAATACTGACAAGCAACCACATATATTATATACACAAATCTACACATAGATTGTTAGTTTATTTGACTTATATACAGTGACAATATAAGCCCACATGCCCACATATGCCACCCCAGTGCACAGTATTCAAGTGCAGCTTAATCTGTACATCTTCCTGCTTCACTGCTAAATGATCTCTGTCGAGTTCTATGACTCAGAATAAGGACATTACAAAAATGCGTGTTTAGATGTCATATAACTCGTGATTTATTTATTATATAGATCTTACCTTTTTAGTGTACATAAACCAAGTGTAAGCTTTATATATATGTCCATATTTAGTAGATTACTATGCTACGTTGTGCATATGTGTTGTGCATACACAAGGACTGTTTATCAATGTGTTTTTAACTTTAAGTATCAACTATCGTCACACATACTAAATAGCAAGCTATGTCAATACACTGTAATATGAAGTATTTAAATATGTGGAAATATAGGCGAAATAATACATATGAGGAAATTATACAAGAGAAATAATAAATTTGTAACATATATTTTTTGGAAAAATAACAAATATGAAACATGCCCGAAATATATTTTTAGGAAAATGATAAATATGAAATAAATATGCCATACATTTTTCATAAATATGGCATATTACATAAATTAATAGTATTCCTAATTTTAATTATATACATATATTTGTATTTCCTAAAATAATAAATACGTGTATAAAACGTTGAAAATAATACTATGCATTTGTACGTTTATTTGTATGTGTTCCTCGGTCAGGAATCCGTGTGCAGTGCTGGTGCTGTGTGTCAGTCTAAACTCTAACGGAGTGAGTCACTGAGTATGGACGACAGATTTCCGCCTTTGTGGCTATTAACCAATGAATAACCAAATATCCATAATGAAATATGTATGTCACTTGATTCGATTTTATTATTATATCAGGTGTGAGCGAAGCTCACACATTTGATTAAATCCTGGCGCGCGCAGCGCGCTGTTTTATTGGCTGATCGAACGCAAAGCGCGATCTCGCTGGTCTAGTAGGGTCTCTGTGACCAGTGGCGTATGCGATCGAAAAGCACATAGTGTTTTGTATCAGCTTTCGGCTGAAAATAAATCCATATTATACAGTTATAGTGATATCTAAGTTATCTACTGCATCATGCAAATGGTGATATAAATATATCGGGTCTGGGTCTCTTTTATGCGAGGATGAAGGGTGTGGTTATCGACTCATATGATCTTATCTAAACAAGGTTTGGGTATCGACTCATAAAGTGTGCCGCTTTGAGCTTAAACGTACAGTGCGAATCAAAGTTAAACAAAGCTAAAATATATATATATATATG